TAATGCTGAAAATGAATTTAGGGATAATTCAAGTAATGATATGTTGATTACTAGCGAAACCCAACCTAATACCTTCTCTAGACCTGTTGGAACATATTCAAATAAATCATTTGAATTTTATTGTAAAAATTTATTTTACGCACAAAAAAAGAAGTGAAGTTTGAAGATCCAAATATCCCATCTCTAAAAATAATAATATTAAATGATAACAAAAATTAAAAGATTAATATATATAAATATCTCAATACATCAGTAATTATCAATAAATTACATAGAGTTCTCTATCTAGTAAGGAATGTAATACTAAAGTATGGGAGCGTTCATTATGGCACGTTAACAAGTTGGTAAATTACCAAGTATTTGACATAAATAGAATTTGAATTAGATTTTAAATTCGTATGACCTAAAAGTATTACATGGCAACAATATCTTAATTATAAATTTTACGAAAAAAAAAACACATTTCTTCAAGTAATATTTTCAAACTGAAAGATAATTATTTAAAAATCGATGCTTGCGTATTCGATTTCAATTTCGATTTTAGGAGCAATCTGAATCCTAGAACATGATATCATAAAAAATTTCGCACCAAAGGAATTACGACAAAGTATCGGTATGGTATTATGAACAATTTTAAAATACTACTAATAATCTCACATTAAAAAAAAAAATACATCAGCTATTTTCGAGTAATAAATTTCAATGCACGATATGGGTTCATTTTTTGTTACCTTACGTTGTATTTATAAAGATCTTTAGAAATTTTGTTTTATGGTCATTATATTTTTTACATGACTTATTTGAAGAAGCTAAATGAAGACGTATTTTAATGAATTGAGAAAACAAAAAAAAATAAATATTGTTAAGTTCGCTTTAATAAGTAGCTATTCTTGCATTTCGTGTTAAATTATCATTGATAAATTTGATGCTACAGCATTCACATTTTGGAAAAAAAAAAGGCCAAAAATACAGTTTAAAAACAAATACAATATTATTAATTAAATCTAATATGTTGCTATTTATTTTACTGATTGTTATTTTTAACAACCTGATCTGATTATTAATGACAAATAATAATCATTACATCATTATCGATGATTTAATATTCCTTATCAAGTATAAATAAGTCCCAATTACACAGTTAGGAAAAATACGAGCTATGCCTTCATCACAAGCAATCTTCAATATACTGAATTATTTAAACGAACTTTCAATTAATTTGATTTTGGAGTCAACTTCATTTTTGTAATGACAACCACAAACTCATCAAGGATATCGGGTCTGGTCTCAACTGGAAATGCAAGGATTTTACATCCATTTTGAAACAATCATACCAAGGAGATATCGAGGAGGTTGTGGTTACCTACAAGGACCAGCTCTGCCTATTCGCTTTTGAACTTGTCGATTTGATCTTTGCTAAGCACGATACAAAGGTCGTGGTACTCAGTTTGAACATTAACGTTGATGACACTGAATCTGGTGAACTTGCTGAGAACTTATTATCATTCGTTACTATCTACACGATGAGCTCAGATCAGTTGAGAATCAAAAATAACGAGAGAGATTGAAAACATGAAAGATTCAGATTTATCCAACGCTAGAAGGAAGAGAAAAGCTAATAAAGTGGATGGGAACTATGAGGTGGATGTACAATAAGGTTCTTGAGATGGTGTAGGACGACGGGATACCTGATATGAGTGACATATGAGAGAGCTACCTGAACGATGGGTGCTTAATTGAAGAATTTTTATGGGTAAAGAGACTTCTAGGGAGGTACGTTCGTACGCGATCTGATAATTGATGAGCACTTACAAACAAATAAGAAGTTGCACAGAAATAATTTTTGAATGAAGTACTAATCGAAGAAGGATCGAACACAAACTATCTTGATTCTTACCAGGGATTGGAATAGGAACAGAGGAGAATACGCATTATTAAAGAAGTATTATCACTCCAGACCATCAGAGATCAATAACATGGTTAATATAACTATGAATCACCTGAGACATATTTACTTGTGTGTTTTTGTTCCTTTGAAAATGATCAATAATCAAGATGATGTTCATAGAAAGGTAATCTCGCTAGATCCAGATGTTCGCACGTTTATGACAGGTTACGACCTGATGATCAATTAATTGAGCGGAGTAATGGTAAAATTGACTAAGTATTCAAATTGTCCAAGAAATACGACAAATTTCAGAGCTACAAGGATCCTGCTTTGGGAAGAACAAACAAGAGAAAGAGATTTTGATTGGAAATAAGATGTTACGAAACATACAATGAATCCGTAATTTGATAGATGAGTGTCATCACTAGCTGGCCCGATGGTTATGTCACCTAAATTCATAATATCACATATGGTTCTCAAGAATAAAAGAAAGATCCGATCAAGGACAGCCTGTGCAATGCTAACCTGATCGCATTTTAGAGTTTAGAAGGTATTAGGTTGGGTTTCGCTAGTAATCAACATATCATTACTTGAATTATCCCTAAATTCATTTTCAGCATTA